ACTTATTCAACCTTGACCACATAGTTGGAAGTAAAGCACTCCAAGGCAAACCAAATCGCACTTATTCCAAAATTGTCCACAAAGTTCAAAGTAAAGAACACATCAGCAAATGTAAAACATGGAAATTATAACAAACTGTCTCTCAGACCACAGTGCAATCAAACTAGAACTCGGGATTAAGAAACTCACTCAAAACTGCTCAACTACATGGCAACTGAACAACCTGCTGCTGAATGACTACTGGGTACATAATGAAATGAAGGCAGAAATAAAGATGTTCTTTGAAACCAATAAGAACAAAGACACAACATACCAGAATCTCTGGGACACATTTAAAGCACTGTGTAGAGGAAATTTTATAGCACTAAATACCCACAAGAGAAAGCAAGAAAGATCTAAAATTGACACCCTAACATCACAATTAAAAGAACTAGAGAAGCAAGAGCAAACACATTCAAAAGCTAGCAGAAGGCAAGAAACAACTAAGATCAGAGCAGAACTGAAAGAGATAGAGACACAAAAAATCCTTCAAAAAAATCAATGAATCCAGGAGCGGTTTTTTTTTAAAAAAAAGATCAGCAAAATAGATAGACCGCTAGCCAGATTAATAAAGAAGAAAAGAGATAAGAATCAAATAAATGCAATAAAAAATGATAAACAGGGTATCACCACTGACCCCACAGAAATACAAACTACCATCAGAGAATACTATAAACACCTCTAAGCAAATAAACTAGAAAATCTAGAAGAAATGGATAAATTCCTGGACACATACTCCCTCCCAAGACTAAACCAGGAAGAATTTGAATCCCTGAATGGACCAATAGCAGGCTCTGAAATTGAGGAGATAATTAATAGCCTGCCTAACAAAAAAATCCAGGACAAGATGAATTCACAGCCGAATTCTACCAGGGGTACAAAGAGGAGCTGGTACCATTCCTTCTGAAACTATTCCAATCAATAGAAAAAGAGGGAATCCTCCCTAACTCATTTTATGAGGCCAGCATCATCCTGATACCAAAGCCTGGCAGAGACACACCAAAAAAAGAGAAATTTAGACCAATATCCTTGATGAACATTGATGCAAAAATCTTCAATAAAATACTGGCGAACCAAATCCAGCAGCACATCAAAAAGCTTATCCACCACGATCAAGTTGGCTTCATCCATGGGATACAAGGCTGGTTCAACATATGCAAATCAATAAATGTAATCCATCATTTAAACAGAACCAAAGACAAAACCACATGATTATCTCAACAGATGCAGAAAAGACCTTCCACAAAATTCAACAGCCCTTCATGCTAAAAACTCTCAATAAATTCAGTATTGATGGGACATGTCTCAAAATAATAACAGCTGTTTATGACAAACCCACAGCCAATATCATACTGAATGGGCAAAAACAGGAAGCATTCCCCTTAAAATCTGGCACAAGACAGAGATGCCCTCTCTCACCACTCCTATTCAACATAGTGCTAGAAATTCTGGCCAGGGCAATCAGGCAGGAGAAAGAAATAAAGGGTATTCAATCAGGAAAGGAGGAAGTCAAATTGTCCCTGTTTGCAGATGACATGATTGTATACTTAGAAATCCCCATCGTCTCAGCCCAAAATCTCCTTAAGCTGATAAGCAACTTCAGCAAAGTCTCAGGATACAAAATCAATGTGCAATAATTACAAGCATTCCTATACATCAATAACAGAGAGCCAACTCATAAGTGAACTCCCATTCACAATTGCATCAAAGAGAATGAAATACCTAGGAATGCAGCTTACAAGAGATGTGAAGGACCTCTTCAAGGAGAACTATGCACCACTGATCAATGAAATAAAAGAGGACACAAGCAAATGGAAGAACATTCCATGCTCATAGATAGGAAGAAGCAATATCGAGAAAATGGCCAAACTGCCCAAGGTAATTTATAGATTCAATGCCATAGCCATCAAGCTACCAATGACTTTCTTCACAGAATTGGAAAAAAGCTACTTTAAAATTCATATGGAAACAAGAAAGAGCCTGCATTGCCAAGACAATCTTAAGCCAAAAGAACAAAGCTGGAGGCATCATGCTACCTGACTTCAGACTATACTACAAGGCTGCAGTAACCAAAAGAGCATGGTACTGGTATAGATCAATGGAACAGAACAGAGCCCTCAGAAATAATATCACACATCTACAACCATCTGATCTTTGACAAACCTGACAAAAACAAGAAATGGGGAAAGGATTCCCTATTTAATGAATGGTGCTGGGAAAACTGGCTAGCCATATGTAGAATGCTGAAACTGGATCCCTTCCTTACACGTTATACAAAAATTAATTCAAGATGGATTAAAGACTTAAGTGTTAGACCTAAAACCATAAAAACTCTAGAAGAAAACCTAGGCAATTCTATTCAGGACATAGGCATGTGCAAGGACTTCATGACTAAAACACCAAAAGCAATGGCAACAAAAGCCAAAATTGACAAATGGGATCTAATTAAACTAAAGAGCTTCTGCACAGGAAACCAAACTACCATCAGAGTGAACAGGCAACCTACAGAATAGGAGACAATTTTCACAATCTACCCATCTGACAAAGGGCTAATATCCAGAATCTACAAAAAACTTAAACAAATTTACAAGAAAAAATCAAACAATGCCAACAAAAATTGGGCAAAGGATATGAACAGATACTTCTCATAAGAAGACATTTATGCAGCCAACAGACACACGAAAAAATGCTCATCATCACTAGCCACCAGAGAAATGCAAATCAAAACCACAATGAGATACCATCTCACACCTGTTAGAATGGCAATCATTAAAAGGTCAGGAAACAACAGGTGCTGGAAAGGATGTGGAGAAATAGGAACACTTTTACACTGTTGGTGGGACTGTAAACTAGTTCAACCATTGTGGAAGACAGTGTTGCGATTCCTCAAGGATCTAGCGCTAGAAATCCCATTTTGACCCAGCCATCCCATTACTGGGTACATACCCAAACGATTATAAATCATGCTGCTATAAAGACACATGAACACATACGTTTATTGCGACATTATTCACAATAGTGAAGACTTGGAACCAACCCAAATGTCCATCAATGATAGACTGGATTAAGAAAATGTGGCACATATACACCATGGAATATATGCAGCCATAGAAAAGGATGAGTTCATGTCCTTTGTAGGACATAGATGAAACCGGAAACCATCATTCTGAGCAAACTGTGGCAAGGACAGAAAACCAAACACCGCATGTTTTCACTCATAGGTGGGAACTGAACAATGAGAACTCTTGGACACAGGTTGGGGAACATCACACACTGGGGCCTGTCGTGGGGTGGGGGGAGGAGGCAGGGATAGCATTAGGAGATATACCTAATGTAAAGGATGAGTTAATGGGTGCAGCACACCAACATGGCACATGTATACATATGTAACAAACGTGAACATTGTGCACATGTACCCTAGAACTTAAAGTATAATAATAAAATAAAATAAATGTCAGGGTGTATTACTCCCTGGCTTCAAATCCTCCATTTATAATTTATTTCACATTTATACAACATCCAGACTTCTTCATATGGCCAACCAGGTGCTTCATGCTAATGAAATGTGTAGATGCTCCTCCCTCAGGAGCCCATTTTTCCAGAGCAAATTCTCTACCTCCAGTGATGTCAGTCACTTTCGACGACACCATTCTCTAGCACCTCTTGCTTTTCATAGATTTTTTTCTTCCAGATTCTATAATGAAAAGTAGATCAAGTCGCCTTCTGCAATGATTTACTCTCGAGGAATATTGGTGCCAGTCACGTGTACTGCTTTCAGATTCAAGAATAACAGCGATTTGAGAAAGCTGTCGTTAGGTTTCCTCTTCTCTCTTTCTGTATGACATTCTTTTTACAAATACACTTCCAAAGTTTGCTCTTTCCAAACACCACAAGACCCATGTAATTTAAGAAGTGATTTTAGGGCTCTCCCTATATTTTACATTAAGTTCAGAAACATGCTCATGATTATTCCACCAAAACTATCAACTTTTACATAAACATCTGTCCTTCTATGAGTTACAAAATAATTGTCACCATCCCCCCTTAATCAACCATCTTCTCCCCTTCTTCGACCAACTTCTCAAAAATAACACCCGATACTGAAGGCATCTCATTCTATTCAGCTTCTTAGACAGTAAGACGTTCTGTTCTTAAACAGTAAGATGTTTTCTCAAGACCCATGCAAAGCACTTCTTTGATTATCAGTTTGGGGGTACCCAACTGTGGAGTCTTCATCCTAAGGGAAAAGTTCCGCACTCAGTAATGCGCCTCCTGAGAACCAGGCCTAAGCAGTGCTGGCCGCTTCCTCCTCCAGGCTGGCATTGTCCGTGTTCGCCAGCCCCTCCACGAAATTAGCTCATTTGCAGAGCAGGCCAAGTATCTGTAGACTTCACGCAGACACGGGTGCAGCCTGCTCTGAGACTTGCAGTCCACTGGAAGTTGGGCCTCTGCATCATCCGGGTGGAGCTCTCTCTCTGTTGCTGCCAACGGACCCCGCCTGGATGCTCTTCCCGCCACCGCTGTCCACCCCGCAGCGGCAGACCAGCAGCAATGGCCACACACCGAAGCACCTTGGTGGGCTGTTCGACCTGCAGCTCCCGCCAGCGGACTGCTCCCGCTCGCAATCCAAAGTCGGAGAAAGCGCCAAACCGCCAGGCACCTCCCATTCCTGCCCAGCTGCCCGCAGCTCCTCCTTGGCCTCCAATGGGAGACAGGGGACACCCATGAGTAGGAAGGAGCAGGGCGCTGATTGCTTAGTTTTCCAGACAAATAGGGAGGGTGGGCAAGCATTTCCCTCAGCCGGACCTTCCGACACACCCACCCGCGCGCAGGCCCGCCCTCTCATCCCTTCCGGTTGCTTCCGTCACTATCTGGAGCGATGTTAATTGGCTTCCACGTGAATGACAGATGAGTCATTTACATCCAATGAGAGAAAAACAGCCTCCAGAGACTCTTCGTCCTTTGGCCAGCGAGAGCGTCCCTCTCCAGGCTCCCCCCGCTCGAGGGCGTGCCCTTCCAGGCGGGAAAAGTTCAACTGAGAGAAACAGAGCTGTCTTCCCAGCACCTGTGAATCCAGAGCGGTGGGCACCGGCACGTGCACTCTGTGGACAGATTATCCGGTTCTGTGAGTGGCTTTTCTTTTCTTGGGTCGGACCTGGAGTTCTTAGGGGGATGGCTGACAAGGGCAGTGGAGAAGGACCTCAGCCCAAAGTCAGAGAGGTTTTGGATGGGAAGCTGGGCCGCTGCCCTTTGTGGTAATTCCCCTCCCCCTTTCTCAGCTTCAAAGGCCAAGAATTTTACTACTGAAAAGAAACTTGGAGATCCTCTGGGTTTTCCGGAATCTCAAGAGGGTCATTTGACCCTGGTGGGTCCTTTCCCTGCCTGGTTGCTGTTCGCGCGCATTGAAGGAGACCAGGTTCAGTTAAGCAGAGCAGAACCTATTCACTGATCAAAGAATAGAGTAGGGGAGCACTTGCTCAAAGTGCCTGGGGTGTAGTGTGGAGGTGCTTCTTAAGGTCTTTTAGGGCATGTAGTTGGAGAGCAAGGATTCCGGGAAAGAGATGGGGCTTTCCAGAAAGCGCTGAGTGTGGCAGTCTCATATTTCCTGTTGCACCCCAACACTACATGTGCCTAGCAAGCTGCATTTCTCCCCAGGGCAAAGATTTAGGTATGGTAATTAGCAAGGATTCAGATTAGGGTAGCGCTCCTAAGTTCCTTTCCCATCTTGTAGTATGGTGGTTACTGACATCCAGTCTGTTTCTATAAGCAAGCACAGCTTCAAGCACAGGTGACCTTCATAGGTTCTGGGGCTTATGGAAAGCATTGAGGTCATCCTGCAGTGACAGAGGCAGCTGTTCAAACAATGTGGTGGGCCTTTGAGAGGGGAGTTGCGGGGTGAGGCAGGTAAAAGTGCAGATTCCACAGCCACACCCCGACATACAGAATCAGAGTCTGTGAGGGTGGGATCTGGAATCCTTTTTAAAAAGCTCAGAGGAACCAATTCACACGAACAAGAAAGGTTTGATCTGAGCCAAAGTCCTTAATCTAGAAATGAGAAAACGGGGATCCCTAAAAGGGTTACAGGGAGAGGGCTGGAGGAAAGTTCGACTATGACAGTTTTAGGGTGGTTCTTTCCTGGCCTTGGGAAGTTTTCTCAGCTGCTACTCTGATTAGTACACAGCTGGAAGCTTTAGGGCAACCCTCTTCATATATCTGGAGTTCCCTCTCTGTGCGGGTCTCCCACCATATCTGTGACCTGTGACCTCTTGTCACCCTGGTCTCTGAGCTTTGTCTCCTCAAATCTGGAATTCCAACTAGCTTTGTCTTGCTGCCCTTACCTGCGACACTGGCCTGGAATCCCTCAAGGTAGCCTGCTACAGTGGATTATAGGATGCATTTCAATTGACACTGTCTTTACCTGAATGATGTCCAGTTCCTTGCAAAGCATTGTTTCATATATTTTGCCAATTTTTGTTTCCCTTTGTTTTCAGACTAGGGGGAAATCCAGTCCCTGTTACTCCATTTTGGCAAGAAATTCAAGGTAATGACTTTTAATATTTCTGACTACTAGTTCTATCATCTCTCTGACTTCTGGATCTGTCTCTATTCACTGATGTTTCCAGTCATTATAGGTCATATTTATCCACTTTTTAAGTGCTTGCTGATTTTTTGATTAGTTATCAAGCTTTGTTACTTTCACAACTTTGGGTGCCAGAAATTTTTACATTCCTGTCAATATTCTTGAGCTTTGTTCTAGTACCTTGATATTTTACATGGAAACCATTTTGTAATTTCAAAGTTTGCTTTTATTTGTCAGGTGGGAGCAGAACTAGTGCTAATTTTGTCTGACTATGGAAGAAATACCTTTCAGAGGTGTCTCCCTGATACTTCATGAATTGTGACGTTTTCTAGTCAGATTTTTGTGAACTGAAACTATTCTCAGTCCTGTATGAGCCTCAGAAATTGTTACATCTGTTCCTTTTGGGTACTTCTTTTTCCTGTTCCTTTTCAACAGTTTCATTCCACTAATGCATTGACCAAGCTGAAATCTCAAGGGATACCCACTGCAGATCTCTGACACTGTGTGCTCCTGTGGCTCTCTTCTCCCTAGTACTCTGCCATACAAGCTCCAGTCATCTTGGCCTCCCCAAACTCCCAGCTTGTCTTCTCCGTCAGGGAATCTGCTAGACTCTGCCTGTTTCTCCTTCCTAAGATATGCCTTGCAAACTCCATACAGGAAGCTAGATAGCCATAGGGGTTACCTCATATGATTTTCTTCTCAGATATCAGAGATGAGGTCAAACACAGCCTGATGTCCAATGATTGAAAGTTGTTATTTCATAGATCTTGTCTGTTTTTGTTTTTTTAGACATTCCATGTGGCAGAATAAACTCAATCCTTGTTTCTCCATCTTATCCACTAGTAGACATTAGTTATATTCTCTTTGAACTCATCATGAATTCCATGAAGACTGAAGAAAACAAGTCATTTAGTGCCACAGGAGATGACCAGAGGACTAGACCTGAAGTTTCAAAGGTATATCTACTTTTTTACAACTCCCCACAGGAGTGATTGTCCTTTCATCCCCTTAGTCCTGTTTTGGGAGGAAGGGAAAAGTTTACAATTTTGATGAAGTTCATTTCTCTATATTTCTCTTTGTGGATCATGCTTTTGTTTTTTATATCAGAGAATTCTGCTAAATCTAAGATCACAAAAATCATTTCTAAGTTTTCTTCTAGAAGTTGTGTAGTTTTAGGTTTAAGTCTACAATTGATTTTAAGTTTTATTTTTATTTTTTTGCGTGGTGCAATACCTGGATCAAAGTTTGTGTGTTTGTGTAAACTGTGTGTTAATTGTGTAAAAATAGTTAACTCAATAGTGGATGATTAGCATCTTATCATTGTCGAGTCTTCCAATCCTAAACAAGGTATATTTCTCCATTTATTTTGGTTTTGTTTAATTTCTTTTGCTGCAGGGCACCTGGGAGAATACGCAAACCTGGTGGATGAAGGCAGATCAGGGAATAGGGGTTTGAAAGAGCAATGGGACTGGTGCACTACTCTTTTCAAGGCCAGCAAACAAGGCAAGAACTAGAGAGACCACAAGTACAAGGCACGAGTGACCGAGAAGGTTAGCCATCCTAGCATCATGCAGCTTGAAGATTGTCCAGTAAACTGTGAGTGGCTCCTCCTAGCAGACTTTCTGCTATTACCTCTGGGTTTCTGGAGTGTGTCTGCACTGTCTTGCCCCTTTGACCAGAAACCCTTGCTTCCTCCACACTCCCTGAATTCCTCAAAGGACAAACTTCCAGCACTAGAATCTCCCTCCCCAGACAAAATATCTGCACAGATGTAGTCACGTCTCCATCAGGGGCCCCCAGACTTACAGCCCCCTGGAAACTGAATGGTCAAGATAATAAGTTATTGGGACTTTTGTATGCCAGATGCGACAGTCTGCTGGGCATTTTATCCAAGTCTTATGGGAGTCTCACCACAGCGGGAGGAAAATGTTTTCCAATTTAGCATTCTTTCCCATGCCCAGCCGTGCAGTTTTTGCATGGCCATACCTAAACCTGCATTTGCCTCCTTAAAGGTTAGTTCTCCTAGCTCATGGAGATCACCTATAATGTGACTTATAATTGGGGTTTGCCGGCCAAATAAGATCTCATAGGACGAATACCCAGCTTGTTTGGTGAGGGTGCACCTGACTCGGAGGAGCACCATGGGCAAGACCTGATCCCACCTCAGATGAGTTTCCTGACAAAGTTTCTTCAGCAGCTGCTTGAGTGTCCAGTTTGTACACTGCACTTTTCCTCAGCTCTGCAGCCAGTAGGCTGTGTGTAACTTCCATTTTATTTTTAATAGCCAAGTGAAGTCCTGAACTATTTCAGCCATAAACGCTGGTCCATTTTCTGACCCCAGAGTAAGGGTTAGTCCAAATCTGGAAATAAGGTCTTTTAACAACACCTTGGTTACCTCTCATGCCTTCTCTATCCAGGTCGGGAAAGCCTCAACCCACCCCAAAAAGGTGCAAATGAACACCAACATGTACCGAGAGCCCCTGCTCAAGGCAGCTCGTTAAAATCCAGAAACAAATTTTCACAGGATGTGGCTCCCATCTCCAGAATTCCTGGGGGCTGGGTAGGCCTGTGCTGAGGGTTGTTCTTGGCACATGTTAGATATTGTTCACAAACTCCTCAGGTAATGGCAGTGAGCTGTGGCACATAGCAATGGTGTCTTAGCAATTTTTCTAGTGCCATTGTTTTCATACGAGTTCCTTGTTGGAACAGTTTCACAAACCTGGGCACCACCATTTCAGGTGTGGCTAGCCTCCTATCAGAGAATTTTCACCACCCTCCTCTAATGTAATTCCCAGTCTCTGGGGCAAACCAGGTTCTTTCATTTGAAGTGTAGCTTGGGGTCTCCGGGAGGGGATTTCCGGGAGGAGAGGCATAGCTAAGGCTTCTACTGTAGAAGGCAGAGTTGCCATTGCTGCCCATTGTGCCTCTTCGTCTGCCTTCCTGTTTCCTTTTGCTTCTAGTGTTCCTGCTTTTGGGTGCCCTGTGCAGTGCATTACTGCCACCTGTTTCAGGACCCATACAGCATCTAAGAGCTGTAGAATTTCTTCCTTGTATTTTATTTCCTCTTCTCCTGCAGTTAAGAGTCCTCTTTCTTTGTAAATCTCCCAGGAACATGCAAAGAGGCAAAAGGATATTTGGAATCTGTGTAAATATTGGCTCTTTGGTCTTTTTCTAGCCAGAGAGCTCTTGTCAGAGCTATCAGCTCTGCCCTCTGATCAGAAGTTCCTGTAGGCAAAGACTTCACCTGTACTACTGAGCCCAAAGTCACCACTGCATACCCCGCTCGGCAGACCCCCTCTAGTATAAAACTGCTCCCATCAGTAAAATACTCAATGTCCAGGTCCCCAAGGGGTCAATCTGTCAAATCTCTGCTGCTTGAGGACACTTTATCTAGCACATCTACACAGCAATCAAGGTGGCCTCCTGGCACTGACTCAATGGGGATCAAGGAAGGCGGGTTTAGGGTGTTCACAGTCTCTAAAATTAAGCTGGGATTTTCACGTAGAAGCCCTTGGTATCGAGTCATTTTCGGGTTTTGATAACCAATGGTGCCCCCTTTGGTCCATCAAAGTTATAACTGAGTGTGTTACCCAAATTGTCAGTTGCTGTCCTAAAGTCAGTTTATTCACTTCTTGCACCAGTAGGGTGGTGGCAGCTAGCACCTTGAAACAGGGAGGCCATCCAAGTGCCACAGAATCTAGTTGCCTGGACAAGTGTGCCACCAGGTGTTGCCATGATCCTATGACTTGAGTCATAATTATCCACACTTGTGGATAATTAACATGGTGAATAAAGTAGTTCTACTAGTGATTAAAGCTCAGGTGCCCTGGTTTAAAGCAAATACCATTAGGGGGCAATAACCTTGGTCGACCTCCCCCTGAAAGGGCCATCTGGCTCACAGGTTAGTTAATGGAGGTAGAGTAAACAGTCTTAACTGGGGAAGCCTCTTTTTCCTAGTATTTACCCTACAACCTAATGCTCTAGGGTAAAAACCGGCTGCTTTCAGCCTGTTCAATTATTACAAGCAATATAACCTTTTGGTCTTCCAAAAAGGTTTGTGACTATTGCCTATAACTTTCCCTAATATTTCCCTTTAATATTTCTGCCATCCTCCTGAGTGAATCCCAACAATCCAGCCCAATGGTGAATAGAATCTGCTAGAGCAGACATTCTTGCCTTTTTTCTAGTCTTGGGAATGCCCATACCATTAAGTATTATGTTACCTATAATTTTTCATAAGTGATCTTCATGAGATTGAAGAAGTTTCCTTTTATTCCTAGGTTGCTGATATTGTTAGAAATAGATGTCAGGCTTACCAGATGCTTTTTCTATGTCTGTTGAGATGATTCTATGTACATATAGAAATTTTAATTTTTCTAATTGGCTTATTACAGTGATACATTTTTCAAAAGTTAAACCAATCTTGCATTCCTGGTATTTACCTATTAGATCTTGCATTTATGTTTATATTGGCCTGTAGTTTTCTTTTCTTGTAATGTTTTGCCTGTATATTATACAGCTAATATTTCCCTATTGCTGAGGCAATGTTCTTTTCAGTATTGTACTCAATGCCGCAGGAATTATGATGTTTTCCCAAGGTCTGGTGGGAACAGCAACTATTCCCAGCCCTGTAAGATCTCCAGGGATTGTTCCTTCTAATCCTTTTGGGTAGCTGATTTCCCTGACTTAGGTGATTTCCTCACATGCACGTGCAGATCACTACTCATATGAAGATTCATGGGGACCCTCTCTGTACAGTCCTCTCCTGCCTTTGAAAGCTAAACCCATTGGCTCCCCAGAGCTCAGTTCCTTTTCCTCAACTCATTTGCTACTGAGGTTTGCCTGGATTCTTTTCTCTGCACCATGGCCTAGAGCCTCTCTTCAGGCAGTAAGCTAGGGAAGTCATAGAGTTTGTATCATTGTTTCTCTGTTTCTCAAGGATCACTGTCCTTTTTTGACTAATTCTCAGTATATTGAAAACTATTTAGTACATTTTGTCCATTTCTCCAGGATTTTCAGGCAGGAGTGTAAATTAGTTCTGTGTTATTCCACAGTGGCCAGAGTAGATGTTCAGGATGCTGCTTTTATTTTCCCAAAGGATTTAGCTTTAATTGGTAGGATTAATGGGCTATAAATGGCTTACTTTATCTTGGCTGCCCCTATAACTATCAAATATAGAAATATAAGCATACCAGAAGGCTTCTTAGCCAGATTAAGGGCAACTTCAAAAATCTCACAGGGAACATCATGTTAAATAGTGAATCGGTATAAGTATATCCTTTACAATGAGGGAAAATAGAGGAGTGCTCACTACTACTGCCTTAATTTAGCTGATACATAAAATTTATTTTAGCCAATGCTGTGTGATAAGAAAAATTAGTAAAAGATAATATTTGAAGATTGAAAAGAAGGGAACAAAGCACATTCATGAAATATCCATAGATGACATCATCATCTATTTTTGAAACTAACAAGATTTATAGAGAAAATATTAGAATGATTGTAATGTGGTAAATTGGCTAGGTTTAAGGTTGATATTTCCAAAACAATGAATTTAGCTTAGTCAGCAATATCATAAAATGTAATACCCCCAAAATTATTTTATAATGCCTAAAAAAACACATTATTTACCTAGAAATAAATGTAAAAATGATTTAACCATTTATGGAGAAAATTATTTTGTTAAAGACATGAAAATGAGACATAAATCAATGTTAAGATATGCTGATGACTAGGAAAACTCAAAATTAAGACAGTATTTGGTGAACATACAGAAAAATATACCACTGGAACAGAACAGAGAGAGTAGAAACAGACTCACAAATTAAACGAAAATATCTTTGTATTAGTTTGTGCTATGGTGTGAATCTTTTGCATGCCCCACAATTCATATGTTTAAATCCTAATCTCCAAAGTGCTGGCATTAAGAGATGGGGCTTTGTTGGTTGATTAGATCATGAAATCCAGACTTGACAGTCTCTTAGGGGTAATAAATTACCACAGGCTGTATGGCCTAAACAACAGAAATGCATTATCTCACGGTTCTGGAGGTTCAAAGCCCAAGGTCAAGATGTCATCAGAGTTGGTAACCTGTTAGGGCCATGAGGGAAAGATCTGTTCCAGGACTCTCTCCTTGGCTTGAAGTTGGCCATGTTTTTTCTATGGGTCTTTACATCATCCTCCCTCTGTGTGTGTCTCTATGTCTAAATTTTCCTCTTTTCTAAGGATATCAGGGGTACTGGATTATAGACCCATCCTACTGCAGTGTGACCTCACTTTAAGTATATCAGCAAGAACCGTATATCCAAATAAGGTCACATTTTGAGGTAGTAAGGGTTAGGACTATAACATGTGAATTTTGAGGGGACACATTTCAACCCATAACAGTCTTATGTGGCAAAACATGCAGTACGGATATGCGGAAAAAGAATGAACAATTCAGTCAGCATCCCTGGAGTAATTTGTTATCCATATACAAAAAATAGAAAGTGATACCTACTTCTAGCTATATACAAAAGTAATTCCCAATTATAAACTTGAATGGTAAAAGCAAACATTCACAACTTTTAGAAGAAAACAAAATATATATATATATA